TAGGCTGGCCTAAATGGTTCTGAAGAATCAAGCCACCTCCATACCTCAAGGAAGAAGCATCAAACGCAGCATCAAAATTAAGCTTTAAACAACCAGTTGAAGGAGCAGTCCAAGGCGTCACCGGAACTGGAACAAATGCTGAAGGAATGGAGAGGAGGTTACCGGAACTGGAACAAATGCTGAAGGAATGGAAAGGAGGTTAGATTGACGCGACGCTTTAATGAATTCCTGAAATGCATGAAGAGCAACTTGAGCCGCATCAAAAGGATCAGAACAACTGAACAAGACTCCATTGTACTCAAACAAATGACCTTAATCCATAGTTTAATAGCATCATTGTTGTGCACACACTAATAACACACATTTATGTTAAAACCTTGGATGCGTATCTTCTTATACAAAAACAATATAAACAAATCTAATAGTTGGTATCTAATGTAGCAAGGATACAGATACGAATACGAAATACGGATATAATACGACACAAATACATTGACATGTCAAATTTTAAAAAAATAGAACACGAGTACAACGTTGACACAACTACATATAAATATAAATATAGTTGTTCTGAAATAAATTAGAAAATAAAATTATGTCATTATTTTAATAATTTTTATATCATATATACCATTATTTCACTACTTTGTCATGAAATTATTCATATTATTTTCAAGAGAACTAGGTACACTTGTTATAGAAATGACGAATGAGAGTCTCGACCAAGTGTCAAAAAGTGTCAGCGAAGTGTCCAAAACAATAAAATTAATTTTTATTTATGAACACGTATATGAAGTATCGGACACTTATTCGAGGAGTGTCTGAAGAGTGTTCGTGTCCGACATGGATACGACTCTTTCGTAAAAGTGTCCGTACTTCCTAATTTAACATTATTTAATATCATGTCTCGACTTTATAAAGCATGGAATTGTGTTATTGCTCTTATAAAAATCAAGAGTGCACAAGGACTGCCCCGCCCATTATAATAGGTACGTTATTTTTATATATATATATATATATATATTTTTTTTTTTACATATATATGAAAATTTGTATATAATATTCTCCTAAAATTATTTGTTTCTAAAATTATCTAACTTTTTTTTTTTTAACTCTTTAAAGTTAAATTTTCAATTACTCTTTAATTCTTTCCTTTCAAAATTTTGTCATTTTTCTTTTCTTTTTCATCTTCTTTGATTTTTCCTCCTACTTCTCAAAATAATCATTTTCTTCTTCTTCATTTTCACCTATAAATTACCTATAAAAATGTACGCACCTATCTAATATTACAAAAAAAAAAAAAAAAAAAAAAAAAAAAAAAAAAAAAAAAAAATGTTATAAATGCATGAAGTAGTAAAATTTGGTATATGACTGATTTAAGTTTATATGTCCCTTCTAGAGATGGTTTCTAGTTTCTGATGGTCGTGTATTGTGCATCCTTTCAAAACTTTTTTATTAATTTCCTCCAATATTTCTAATACCATACCTCCAAAATTTCTAATAGTGATATGTGCTATTCAAAAGGTCAAAAAATTATATATATATTTTTATCCACATTCATTTCTTATAATTTGTTAACAACAATTATTTATTAATATACGTTTCTTGCAGATGAATAAGGTGTGAGTGTCACTGACATGCATGCAGACCTTGCTCGTCTATTCTCATTCTTTTTACATTTTAACTAATCTCTATAGTATGAAGGCGAGGGAATGGTGTTGTTCATAAAAAATATGACATTTTAACATGATGAAAGAATATAAAGGAAGAATTACTAGTAATTTATTTTTTTGTGGCTTTTTTTAGCATGCAAATATAAAATGATCATTTACTCAAATAATAATAATAACAAGGGATAATATTACTTAGGGCCCGTTTGGAAAGTGTTGTGTAGTGTAGTATAATGCTCTAACCTAGAACACAACAAGTGTTTTGTGATGTAGTGTTGTGAAATGGAAGCAAAACATGTTTGGGATGAAAATTTGGAATGAGAATTTTGGAATAGAAATTATTATTATTATTTTTTATGATTAAAATAAATTAATTACAAAGCTTGATTAGTTTGCAAAACAAGAATTACAGAGCTTGATTAGTTGATTTAGAAAAAAAAAAATTAAAACAAAACCCATACACACAGAATTGCAGTTGCAGAGAGACAGAGAGAGAGACTAGGGCAACTGGGAGGCTGAAATGATTTGCCCTATAAAAAAATATTGCAGAGTTGAGAACGAGAATAGAGATGGAGGCGTTTGGGAGGCTGAAATGATTTGCCCTAAAAAAAATTAAAACAAAACCCATACAAGTTTAAGAGAGCGAGAATAGAGATGGAGGTGTTTGGGAGGCTGAAATGATTTGCCCTAAAAAAAATTAAAACAAAACCCACACTCACAATCTGAAAAAAAATTAAAACAAAACCTATACTCACAATCTAAATTGCAGAGTTCAAAAAAATTATAGATTTTGAACTTTTGATTCTTGTAGATTTTGTAGTTTGCAGTTGGAGAGAGAGAGAGGGGGCAAGTTCCAGAGTTAAGAACGAGAATACAGATTGAGGCGGGTTTTGAACTTTTGATCCTTGTAGATTTTGTGTTTGCAGTTGCACAGAGAGAGAGGGAGCAAGTTCCAGAGTTGAGAACGATAATAGAGACGGAGGCGATTGGGAGGTTGAAATGATTTGCCCTAATAAAAATTATCTCCGCTACAGTAAAAAAGATGGGCCTGGAACAACATAGAACACCAAAATGTTGTTCCACCTTTTGGGCCAAATAGTAGATATGTTCTGAAAGTGTTCCACTACTGTTGAGAATACAACAAGATAGGCCAAACAACTTGTGTTCTGAAATGGGTTACTGTAGCACTGTAGGGAACATGGTAGAACAAACACCAAACAGGCCTTACTCTCTCAAGATTGTGCCTAATTACAGGTAGTACCTCTAACGTTTCAAAAATTACAAAATCTCCTTTAAATGTGACTGGAGTTGGATTCCGATAAAATGTTTGTTAAATGACTAAAATACCCTTGTTTTATAAAATAAAAAAATTAGCAAAATATGAAATTACAAAATTACCTACCAAACTCTATACCTACACATCTTTCTCCCCTCTCTCTCCAACATTACTCGCTAAAATGGAGAAGAATAATATAGTAGAACTGACCTAATTAAGTTTGTCTCTGACATAAATTTGACATGGAAAAAGTCAGCAACTTTTGCTAGTCTTGAAACACTAAAATGGAGAAGAATAATATGGTAGAACTGGCGATATCCACGAGTTACAGGGCTGTAATCAAGATTATTAATTACAGAATTATTGAATTGATATAATTTTAAATCATTTTCCTAAGTTTAGAGCACCTTAAGGGTGCTAGCGGAAGAGAACAACTCCTCTACTTTAAAGAGCTAGCTGTGATGTTAGCCACCAAATAGAAAGAAATAAAAATACATTTTAATGTCATCAAAATTTTGATAAAGAGAATCTGATCACATTAAAATATTGTCCTGCTTATTTCCAGTATTGCAATTACATGTATATATATATCTTGTTTCAAGGAAAGGGGCGAAGAAAACACTGGTATTTTCATATCTTGTTTCAGTGTCATGCATGCAGATTGTTATCTATCAAAAGAAAAGCAAACAAAAGCTAACCCCGGACAATCATTGTTGTTATGGATATGATATCTTCACAGTTTGCCGGCAGACACTAACCCCTCCACATTTTCAGTACTCCCACCCTAATTCAAAGAGAGGTAATTCTCATATGCATTTCTGCTACGTTTTCATGGCATTCAATTGTCCACTGGACATTTAAACTTACCCAAACTCATTGTCTCATCTTCGTCAAAATTTGTTTAAGTTCATAATCTAAGTTGTGTTACTAATTTTAAACCCTTAATCACTTTAATTTCAAAGTCATAACAATATAATTGTGTTTTAAGAAGAAAAAAAATACTTTGTGTTATAAACACTAAAACCCCGGACCTAGGTCTATAATGTTGCCTTGTCTCCTCAACCAAACCAAATGAATGCAAGACTTATAGGCCTAGAAGAGAGAGACACCAAAAACTAACCAAAGCAGAGAAGATGAAGCCAAGAAAGATATTCAGCAAACAGAAACAAAACACATATGCAGAACCCTAAATCAGAATATCAGTCTTGCCTGAAGTTAGTGCAACTAATCAGAAGGCACACTCCAAATATTCCAACAAATAAATTGGCTCTCTTAATCAAAATCAAAGGAGTGTGCCTCATGGATCTTTTTCCACTTTGCTACCTAATTAGAAATTTTATTGTGCCGGCCTCCCTCAACCAACTAAGAGCTTGAAATCTCAGTTAAGTTTCCTATCCCCCTCTTAAACTTTTATCAGGAGTGAAAATTAATTCACCACTATGGTCATTGAAGGTTACCAATACCTGACCAACTTAGGGCACTCGAGAAAGACTAATGGAAGTTCAGCTTTGCAAAGTAACTGGACTAACAGCACATGGGACAACATTCAAGAAATGGAGTTATTAGATATAATTTAAAAAATATAGCACAAAGAAACTTCCTCAAATTCCTAAGTGATCCATAGGGGAGGAGGACTAGGAAGATGCGGACAGAAAAATGATAGAAATCTACTGAAGGAAAATTAAGAAATGCAGTCACATTATATGAAATGCAGTTAATATTGCAATGACATAATCATAGGACTAAAACTTTCAAGTGGTAAGTAGTGACTACAACCTAAGGACATCAAATAAAATGAATCTAGCATGTATTGTTACGGACATTGCTCTTTAGAATAGTGCCACACAGTACTTCAATTCAAGAAAAGGTGTACCAAATTTAGCCACCGTCATTCCATAAAAGTTTATACTTATTTACCATAAATGTTTGTACTTATTTATCTACTTGATTTTTTGGTGAATGGGTGAGAGTCAATTTGCTTGACCTGCTGCAGTTGTGTTGTGTGCCACCGTTCTCACTTACTAACCGATCAACCATATGATCCTTGCTTGACATTTGGCCTTTAAATTGCGAAGTTAAGAAAGAAGTTCAGACATAAAAAACCATAGCATAAAGTCAAAGTGCATAAATACATATATGTGGATTAATTTACCAGCAAGAAAATGTGAGAGCATAAACACGCACTTGAGTCCTTGTTTCATCCATCACTTCCACCACTCTAACCTCAAGGTCTGGCATCCAAGCACCATCTATTGCACATCCTCTCCATTAATGTTCTATCCGGAATTCCAAAGACACATGTTTTGCAAATTCATGAATTCCTTCAAAAGTTATTGATATACAACCCCTCAGATCAATCGCCACCAAATTCAGGCAGTTCTGAGCAAGAGCAAAGAGTGTAGCATCTGATATGTTAATCAACCACGATAAGTGCAATCTCTTGAGAGTTCGAATTGCAGCAATCGCCAAACCTCCAATGTCAGTCACATTCCCTCCACAGTTTGCCAGATTCAACTCCTCCAAACAACACATTTCCCTCAAATGCAATACACCATCATCTGTAATTCGATTACACTCTGCAATGTCCAATTTTCGCAGTGTCCTAGATAGAGACCCAATTGCCAACAAAGCCAACCCCCCATTTGTGATTAACCAACAACCTCGCAAATTCAAAACCAGCAAGGAATTTGCATTCCCAATAGCTTTAAGGGCTTCATCTGCAATCCTACTGCATCCAGCCAAATCCAAAGTGGTCAAATTTTGAGCTGAATTAACAAGAGAAGTGACTCCAAAATTCCTAACTTGGCATCTCCTCCTCAGATACACTTCAGCTAAATTGGGACACCCAATTGCTATCTCACTTATACCAGAACCATCAAGATCTTCCAAAATGGGTATAATACCAAGTGTTTTTTTGTAGTTAAGATTGAGAACTTCAATGTTGGGACAAGTTTTGGCGATGATTTTGATGTGGTTATTGGTGAGACCTTTTGATGATTCCAATGAGACTAAGTTTGGGAATCTGGGTAAGAAACTAGGAAGAAGAATGGGTTCGAAAATGCGTAAAGATGATCGGTGAAGACCCTCGACTCTGCACCATTGCTTGCAGACTTCAGAGAATGTTCTTCTGTCATCAGGGTTATCAACCCATTTGAGAATTAAGCCCAGCACATCATCACCAAACCTTTCCATGACACTCAATTGTGTTCACTGAACATGAAATTAACACCTAATTCTCCGTAACACAAAGTAAAAGAAAAGCTACTGAGACAACAATACTAATCCATAGTATAGTAGTTGCTCCCAGAAATGATCGATGAAAAACCCTAGTTTTTCTAATCCACAGTATAGAGAGGTTTTGGAGATCAATAGCTAATGGTTTCGAGTTTGAGGTTTATATAAAGGAGAGAGAGAGAGTTTGAAGAGTGAGAGTAAGAGTGAGAGTGAGAAATAAATTTTATGCTTAAAACGTAAATTTGGTAGGGTATGAAATGGATCGAACTTGAACCCACTTATGATTTATACAGAACCGCATCTCTCTCTCATCTTCACACGATCTGAAACCCTAGCTTTTTCTGAACCTCTTCTCGTATGGACACTTTAGAACACACGGCAGATGGATTGAGTACTGGGTTCGACCTCCCAGCGATAAAATTTCACAAGGAGTATTATTTTAAGGGTATGCATAAATAACCAAATAAAAATATTTAAGTTAAGCAATTCACTCTGGGTAAAAGTATCACTACTTAAATTTTAAATATGAATTTTTCTAAATTTGTTGGCAAAGGCTTGTTTAGATTGTTAGATTTGCAGGGATAGTCAGGGAAATGAAATGATAGTGTAGATTGTGTGTGGAGACTTAAAATGAAATTATTCCTCCTATCATATTTTCTTAAAAAGAAAAAAAAAAAAAAAAAAAAAAAAACAGATTGGGAGGAAAAAAAATTATTGGGTTAAATAGTATTTTATAATTTTGAAACTGCCCTTAACAATTAGAAGGTGGAAATTGACATTCCACTCATGTCACATTTAATTAAAAGGATACGATAATAATTTAATTTTTATCATTTCATTTCATTTCTTCTCTTCTATCTCATCCAAACAAAAATATTGTATTTTCCTTTATTTTCTCTCCTATCTATCCAGTATTATCCTTTTTTCCATTTTTTTTTTCTTTCCATATCGAATGCAATTATTTTCTTTCTTTTCTAATGTTTCTATATTATATTAATATATTTGTATAGCATTTTACATAAGAGTATGATTTTTTTAAAATTGGTCAATAAATCTTTTGAAAAGAAAATGTTAGTAGTGTTCAGAGACTAAAGTAATAAACATTGAACGATCTACCAATATATAATTTGTCCAAAATTTATAGGAGGTCGGTATAATTTTTTTTAAATATATATATATATTTTAATTTATTTATTTTCCCTATCATTTATTCAATCTTTTTAGGACTAATATATATGCATTCCAAGGAACACTCCTACTACTAAAGTTTTTTTTTTTTATTTTTTATTTTAAATTCTAAAATTTCTATAATAAATGGTCCCATTTGATTTTAAAAGTTTTTTTTACGGTCAGTGATTTGACCTTTCAAATAATCTTCTAATTAAAACAACTCCTCTAGTATTTTTTAATTATTTTTAAATGGTAAAGCAAACATGCATACTCACTATTCTTGAACTATAATAAAGAGTTTATACCTTATACCAGATAAATTAACACCTATTGATATTTCATTTGTTAATATTGAAAACCATTTTGCCGAAACCCCCACCCCCTAGGTCTTATTACTAATTTACTTCATTTGTCTCAAAAAGAGTGTCTCTTTTGGGGACAGAGGGAATACTATACATCTCTATAATAACTAGTGTTAACTTCATCTTTTCCAGTTTCTGAATGCACCTTCATAACCTCAGGCATTTCTAATCAGAGTCCAATCTTGGTTACAATTGACCTTAACGTTCCAAAGAGTTATGTCCCCTTCAAATTCTTTAATGCATGGTGCTCTCATCCTTTCTTTTCTCCTTTAGTCCAGGAAATTAATGTGGAGCTTTTTCATCTTAGGAACCTCCATGTTCCAAGTTGTTCAGAAACTGAAGCACGTTGTCACGCCCCGCCTATGGAGGTTGTGCCACGCAGGCGACACACAGACGCTGAAGAGGATGCTGTATGGCAACTGCATGGCGAGTGGAGTTTCTAGAGTCTTCCGGAGTTATCTAGAGTTGTGTGAAAGATTCTAGATATGTGTAGTATATTCTAGAGTTCTTCAGAATTGTGTGGAGTAGTATGAAGAGTTTTAGAATATTGTAGATACTAGTAGATAAGTATGGAAGTGTGAAGAAGGTAGGAGAAGATTCTAGAGAATCAATCTCCACCGTTGGTTAGAATGCATTCTAGTCATCCATTAGGGATGGGGATGCCTATAAATAGAAGTAGGACTTCATTTTGTAGCCAACAAGTCCTAGAGTGAGTTTTGAGAGCCTTGTAGAGAGTTTAAGAGCTAGCCTTGTACAAAGCATTCTTTGAAGTAATAGAAGTGTTCTTTCCTTGCCAACTTAAGTGCCTTAGTGTGTGTGAGTGTGCAAGCCAAGTGAGGAGAGGGCGAGGGCCACTACAACACTAGTAAGCGCACGAGGGGAGTGTGTTGGCTAAGGTGTGCACGAGAGTTAGGCTGACCAAGTACTTACGAGAGTGAAAACAATGCCTTGGTGCTGCACGAGAGCAGCTAGAGTGGTGCTGAAACTCTAAGCCCGTGACAACGTGCTGAGAACCAATTGTAAGAAAGACTTCTCTAATGTGTACTCCAAAGCTACAGGTTGTCAGATTTGAACTCGATGCATGCCAAATTGATCTTGACCAGCATCCCAAAGATGTTCTTTTAAGACAACTAGAGAGATCTCTGACCTCGAAATTCTTAAGACTAGGCAAAGTGCAAGAAGACATGCTTAGACAGAAGTCTAAGATTGTGATACCCCAGAATTTCCGGATGCGGATTGGCCAGGCCCATGCCCGATAACCCGAGGATATCAAATCAATTAGCAATAATCGAACACAGAATACAAATAAGAAAAACAAGAATAAATAAATTGCTAAAAACAAACTAGAATCATAATCCAAAAACCTCAGAATAAAATTTAATTAACAAAGAATGATTCTGATACATCCTACTTCTCCATTTCTATTACAACTCGGGAATCCATCTAGTGGACCCCTAAAATATCTCACTGAACTCAAAAGATTGGAAACGAATCCCAAGTCTAAAATATGAAATAAAACCCTGGTCATCGGTGGAGTGAATAACTGTATCTGCTCAGCACGATGCAGCTCTAAGTCTGGAACTAACGAACACTTGTAAAAATAAGAGTGGGTCAGGCCCACATGCAAATTCTTCTCTAATTACAATCCAAACAGTAACTCGATACGCAGATACACCCTAGATGTCTCAACAATAGCTATCTATTCCATACATATAGATATATCCACACTAAGGGACATTCACTGGAATACAGTAGGGGTCTCAACCTTAATAGAAGGCAACATGCGAAAACGCACCCAAAGGTGGGCATGAGTACCCAGACCTAACAGGGTACACCTCAACCTACTATAGCCAGCTACGCATCCACTGCATATACGCACCCTAACCAACGAGTCTGAAACTCAAGCTCATCTCGTGGTACCATGAACATATATTTAAAATCCATTCATATCCATCCATAGGAAATCCAATAAGTCGTTCAGCTTATTCAGCTACACAGACTTAAATATAAGGAGAATTATGTTTTTATAATTCGAACCCTTAATCCAAAATAGGTAGGACTGAGTTATTTTGAATCAGTCTGTCCCTAGTATGTCACCGTCCCATACTGGTGCATACAATCCACAAAAATCCATATAATTGATTGAACAGGTATGACTGTTCACCAATTAAAATCCATAAGGTAGGAATGAGCGTTTTGAGCTAAACCATACCTAGTATGTCACCATCCCATACCGGTGCATACGATCCTCCATATCCATGTAAATTACCACATATAAATAATAAGCAAGTAATTTACAGTCCAAAACTAATTATCCAAATCATTGCAGAATAGTTTATACAATGCCACAACAATTACAGTTCAAAAAATCCAATTAACTGTAGAATAATTTATAAGATTCCACAATTAACATCCAACCTATGTAAATTACAACACATAATTAATAGTTTAGCAATTTCCAATCCAGAACCGTCCCAAATACTTATAGGAGACTATTTATAGTTTCAGCAATTTAAATCCAAGAGTTAAACCATGTATTTGCAGGAAACGGTTTAAAAGTTCAACAACTAGCATCCAAAGCATGCGTAGATCACATCTAATATATATATGACTCTATCATGCATTACAAATAAGTTTTATAATCATAGTATAGTCCAATTAATTGCTAAACTAATCTAGGCAATTTAGTTTCTTTCGTCCGATAACAACGTACTAAGTTATATACTCGTATTCTGTTTCATCTTTTAGCACGGAGCCATACACTATGCCACAAGTCCAATTGGTTATTAAAATACTTCACCATGCGTATAAAATAAGTTTAAATAACTTACTAAATCCCATAACAATTGCTGAAATTTAATTAAGCAATTTATTTCTTTTCCATCCGTTAACAGCATAGAAAATTCCTTAATTTTATACTGTTTGTCCCATTGACTTAGAGGTCAACTTTAATCAACTTAAGGTCTTAATTACACCCAAAATAAATTTCTTAATACCTCTGTGTAGACCCAGACCCATCCAAACAGTTCCCATGCTCCAACAGTTGCAAACAGATCGTAAAAAAAAAATTCAAAAAATCCCTATTTGAAAGAGCCTGCTCTAAATTCCAAGAGCAGGCTCTTTTTTTGAGCCTGGAGCCGGCTCTAAGAATGTAGAGCCGGCTCAATGAGTATGGGAGCCAGCTCCCATATCCATGGAACCGGCTCTCACCTCCTTTGAGAGCCCATGTCCCCGTTCTGCTCCGTTCTGACTTTCTGCTTCTTCTCCGGCATGTTTCTGCCATTCAGTTGGTTTCAAAAACTTATCCTAAGGTCTTATTAATACCAAAACAGACTCCCAATGGTTTTAGAACAACAATTTAAAATCAATTACAGAGATTAAACAAAGCCATTAAACCAATATGTTTGAAGAACAACACTGAAACTAATTTAAGAAATTTCAGTTCTCTTCCAAACCCTCTGTTCCTCTTCACCACTGAACCTAAGGATCCTATATAAATCCCTATGACATCCCCATGGTTCGTTTGCTGTAGATGAAATAAATTACAAAGTCTAAAGTTACAACAGAGCAACATGTTTAAAGGACTGAAAATTGAAACGAGACATGTAGAAATTGTAACAGTTTTGATTTCAACACAACCAGATCATTAATATAACATATATTGAACATGTAAATTCCAGTTACTGATTGATTAAACCCTAGAGATTATCTAGGTGCACAGAACACGAGCCAAAGGGAAGGAGAAAGTAGAAGAACTTGCCTTTCGGTTTCGGTTTGAAACCTTTCAACGTCGTCTTCTTCCTAAAATTTTCGGCGATCGTGACCGCCGTCAAGGATTCCTCTGCTCCGGTTCTAACCCTCAAACAGCTCTCAAGCTTCCTCCTTAGT